CTGGATAACGGGGGTGACGCAGGGTGGGCCCAGGCGGCCAGGAAGAAGGGCGGGGGCCAGTCCAGATGCAGACACAGGCTCAGGGTCGGGGCCAGGGGTCCTCGGTTGGGATTCTCGATGTCTCCGAGTTTGGTCGATGTAAAGCATTGCCGGTGAACAAACCCTTCCAAGTCTGCCCCGCGTAGAGTAGTCAGTGGCCCCGCTGTCTCGGGGGCAGAAGCCGGCTGTGGCACTGGTGCTCCCGAAGACACGGCTATGGCTCTGCCAGCGCGCCTGCAAACCCTCAGGGACACCAAGCCCCCGTGTGGCATGACAGTTAGACCCAGCCTCACTGCAAACACCCTCCATGAATGTTAGCTCGTCTGTCAAGACAAGGTGAGTTTTGGCCGCGGCACGGTGGCTCCGCTTCGGCCTCCCAGGGATATGCTGGGATGGACAGGCGGTGAGCCACCGTGCCAGGGCCAACTACACTTGTCTTGACAGGCAGAGCAGAACTTCAGCGAAGGGGGGATTGTGCGGGAGGCCTGGGAGTCTCCCTGTCATGCACCACGGGGGCTTGGATGTCCTGAATGGGTTTTGCCAGGCGGCCGTCAGCTGGGCAAGAGCCATAGCCGTGTCGTTGGGAGCCACCAGTGTCAACCACCTGCTCTGCCCCCAGAGACAGCCGGGCCCTGACCTCACTGTGTGTGTCCTTCTCCACCCCCGGGCGCAGCTTGGTAAGGGTTTGTTCGACCCAGGATGTTTACATCGGACCAAACTCGGGAGACAGAGCTCGCAGACCGAGGACCCTGGCCCCGACCTGAGCCTGTTGTCTGCAGCCTCTGGATGCCCGACCCTCCCTGGCCCTGGGCCCACCCTGCGTCAACCCCGTTACCTAGCTTCTGTCTTCCCGTGGCTACAGCCCTGGTACTGGGTCTGGAGGCGACAGTAGCCATCCGGAGTAGGTGCACGGCGAGGAACCAGGGGCCCGCAGGTCGGCCGGCAGCACCGCACACCAGGGGTGGGCCGGTGGCCGTTGTGGCTGGGCCTCGACGTATCTCCTCCCTGTGTACCGTGGAACAGCCCGCCCGCCCGCTCAGGCCTGGGAGCAGCTTGAGGACGCGGGCGGGAGGCACGAGGGCCCAAGGATCGGGCGGCCTGCCTCACCCGCGCAGCAGCCGGAAGGTTCGCGTTTGGCCACGTTGTGGCGTAGACGTCCGGGACCGGTCCAGTCTCGCGCGGGGCGGTATCACGCCCTCCAGAGAGAAGAGGTCCGCCGGCGCCCTGGAGGGTGGGGACGGGGACTCGTGAGTCCTGGAGGAAGGCCGGGGCCAGTGCCTGGGGAGGGAGGGGCGGCACCCACCGGGGTCACTTCCTGGAGGTTGTAGAAACAAGGTGTCATCTTTGTCTGCATACCTTTGGCCTCCAGTTTCGGACTCAGAGGATGACGGTGGAGTTCACTTTGGTGTCCTGGGGGCGGGAAAGGGGCTTGGTCAGGAACGGTGCTAGCCCGGGACCTTCGGAGGCCGCCCGCCCCCCTGGCCAGGCTCCACGCTCACTCCCTCCACGGGACACCCTCCTTGGGTGTGGTAAGGGAAACACGGGGGCGTTTGTCGTTGACGTCCAGCACAGACACGAACCACCCACAGCTGGGTCACCTGGGGGAAGGGGTTCACCAGCCTTCCCCCGCCGTCCCCGCCCAGCCAGGGATCCACTGGCTCACTCGGCAGGTGGGGAGGGCCTGCCCGCAGTGCACAGCTCTAGGGCTGCACCAGGCAGCCAGGAGGGACGGCCCCCTGCCGTGGGCGCCCGCGCCCAGCATCCACAAAAGTCATTTATTAGATGATCCAGGGAAAAGACGACCCCAGGTACTGAGTGGTGCACACCAGCGAGATCGCCAGTGGAGAAAACTGCCAAAACAACTGAGGTTTCTTAAAAAATAAGTCCAGGCCGGGCGCGGTGGCTCAGCACTGTAAATCCTAGCTCTCTGGAGGCCTGGGCAGGTGGAGGCTCGATCGTGGGAGGGATTGCTCGAGGTCGGGAGTTCGAAACCAGCCTGAGCAAGAGCGAGACCCCCGTGTCTACTAAAAATAGAAAGAAATTAGCTGGACAACTAAAAATATATAGAAAAAAATTAACCAGGCATGGAGGCGCATGGCTGTAGTCCCAGCTACTCAGGAGGTTGAGGCAGCAGGATTGCTTAAGCCCAGGAGTTTGAGGTTGCTGTGAGCTAGGCTGATACCACGGCTCTCTAACCCTGGGTAACAGAGTGAGACTCTTTCTCAAAAAAAAAGAAAAAACAACAAAGAGGAGAATCTACAAATCAAAAGAAACTTAAGGCCGGGGAGTGGTGGCTCAGGCCTGTAATCCTAGCACTCTGGGAGGCCAAGGCAGGTGGCTGGAGCTCAGGAGTTCGAGACCAGCCTGAGCAAGAGTGAGACCCTGTCTCTACTATACATAGAAAGAAATTAATTAAGAAATTAATATATATAGAAAAAATTAGCCAGGCATTGTGGCTCATGCCTGTAGTCCCAGCTACAGGAGGCTGCAGGCAGGAGGCCCTTGCCCCCTTGAGCCCCAAACCGTCTTGACGGCTCGCTGTGAGCTAAGCGCTGCACGCCATGGCACTACTCCTAGCCTGGGCAACACAGGCGCGCCGACTCCTGTCCAAAAAAAGAAAGAAAAGAAGAACCTTAAAAAATCCAGCACGGTTGGCTCACCATGCTGTGGCATCCCCAGCCCCTTTGGGAGCGCCAAGGCCACGAGATCGCTTGCAGCCCAGGGTTCCGAGCGCCGGCCCCCCTGGGCACACAATCCGCAAGACCCATCCTCCTACAAAAAATCTTAACACATTAGCGGGGGTTGTGGCCACATGCCTACCCTGGCTCCCAGCTTACTCGCGTGATTGCTCTTTTGAGGCAGGTATACTGGGATGGCTGGAGCCGTCTTTAGTAGAATTCTAACGGTCTGCAGTTTTATGCTTCTTGATCACCACCTCTGTCTTAATTCCTTCTCCATCTCTGGCACAGAGTTCGACGGCACGTTTCACATATATTCTAAAGAACTGTATAAACTTGAAAAAAGAAACATGCCAGATGATTGAGCTCCACTAAGAAAAAAAAATAAACAAAAATAAAATAAAAATAGAAAAGAAAGAACAACCTTCCCGGAGAACTATGCCGGACACGTTGCCATCGTGTCCACCTTGCTTCGGATCTTGGACCGACGACAAACTCCTTGCCTAAGACCCTCCGGACACAGGACGAACACCGTCCCTGCCTTCTGCCATCCCCCGCGGCGAGGGCCCGCCGCCCTGTTGGGAGCCGCCCCCCAGAGCCCATGCGTGGGCACAGATGTGAGTGGGACATGCACCCAGGCCAGGCCTCGGGGCCTCCAGTTCAACTGTTTTTGTTTTTTTTTTTTGAGACAGAGTCTCACTCTGTTGCCCAGGCTAGAGCGAGTGCCATGGCGTCAGCCTGGCTCACAGCAACCTCAAACTCCTGGGCTCAAGCGATCCTCCTGCCTCGGCCTCCTGAGTAGCTGGGACTACAGGCACGCGCCACCATGCCCGGCTGATTTTTTCTATATATTTTTAGTTGGCCAATTAATTTCTTTCTATGTATAGTAGAGACGGGGGTCTCGCTCTTGCTCAGGCTGGTTGCAAACTCCTGACCTCGAGCGATCCTCCTGCCTCGGCCTCCCAGAGTGCTAGGATGACAGGCGTGAGCCACAGCGCCCGGCCTCCAGTTTAGCTTTGACTCTGAGTGACAGAGGCCCCGGGAGGTTCCGGGAGGGCTCTGCAGGAGGAGAGCAGGGCGGGCAGACTGGGCAAAGGTAGCAAGGCCCCGGTGTTAAGTTCCCAGAAAGGAAGGCAGGTGCCGGAGCCTGGGGGGGGGGGCTGGAGGTGGGAGAGGTGGGGGCTCCGGGTCCGGCAGCCCAGGCATGGGGCAGGGCAACACCCGAGGTGCCTCCCTTGCGTGGGGCGTGGGGGAGGGGCTGGGGGTCTCGGCGCCGCTGGCCTGGCATCTGCAGGACAGCTGTCAGGGGCAGGTTCCTGAGTCTGGCTCAGCAGGGCAGAGTCTGGCTGGAGGCAGTGTGACGGTGTGTGACATTTGAAAGCAACACCTGGATGAGGTCACCAAGGTGTGGCCCTGGTCCGGCAGGGGGTGGGGCGGGCGGCGGGACTCACCACGGTGCCTCCCCTTTTGCACTCCAGGTGAGCCTGCAGCAGCGAGTTCTCCTGTGGAGGCAGAGAGGCCTTGGGAGTCACCTGCCCAGCAGCCACACCTGCTGTCCCCGTTTCACAAGCGGGTAGACTGCGGCGAGGGGCGGGTGCTGGCCCAGGGTCCCCCTTCATTCCCCGTCGGCCATACCGTCAGGACCCCTGAGGGAGGTCGGCCACTGCCCGGGGCGGGGGGTGGGGGGCACAGAGTTCTTAGGCCCTTCCGGGGAAAAGTGTCACCCAGAGATCCCCAGGGAGCCCTTCCCCGGGGAAGGGGTGCGGGTGCCTCGGGCTCCCGTGGGGGCACATGCTGCCCGCCGACAACCCACCTCGTAGTCGGGCGTCTTGCTGAGAAACAGCTGGTTCTCCGATCCGGAACGCCGAGGGGGTGGATGAGGATCCGAGGGTCACCTCCTGGTCGCCCGGGACTTGGATGTCAACCAGGGGCTCCGTGATATTTGAGTTCTCTTTGACCTCGAAGAGGTTCTTGAGCGCTCACGGCAGGGACGGCAGTGGGGGAGACGGTGGGTCCTCAACACCCCTGGCCCAGCTCCCCCCCCCAGACAGGCCCCCTCACTATCCTGCTCCCATCCAACCGCTGCGCTCCCCCCCAAGCACGGCCTCCCCCCGCAGTCCTGCGCTTCCTCCCCCAGCCCGGCCTACCCCCCCACCCTGCCTCCCCACCCACGCCCTCTCCCCCAGCCCTGCCTCCCCACCCAGCCTGCCTCCCCCCAGCCCTGCCTCCCCCCCACGGCTCCCCACAGTCTGCGCTTCCCTCCAGCTACGGCCTACCCCCGCGCCTGCCTCCACCCACAGTCCTGCCTCCGCCACCCAACCCTGCCTCCCCCCCAGCACGGCCTCCCCCCACAGTCCTGCCTTCCCTCCCCAGCCCGGCCTACCCTCGCCCTCGGGCCCTGCTTCCCCCCAGCATGGCCTCCCCACCAGCCCTGGCCTCTTCCCAGCCCTGCTCCCCCTAGCCCTGCTCCCCCAGCCTGCCTCCCCCCACCTGAGCCTCCCCACCTCAGCTCCTGGCCATCCCCCCAGCCCTGCCCTCCCACCTTAGTTCAGTCCTCCCCCCAGCCCTGCCTCCCCCCCTAACCCTGCCTCCCCTTACCCTGGGGCCTGGGCGCTGGGCCCCGGGGGTTCGACAGAGCACAGCCCACGAGAGCAGGGCGGATGACAGCCGGGGGCCTGAGCCCCCATCTTGGCTGCCGGCACCTGGCAGGAGGGTGTCAGCGGTCTGGCGTGCAGGACTGGCGCAGTTCCTGCCGGGGCGACCTTCGTCCCTGCCAGGCGCCGCCCCGATTTATGACCCTTTATGGCTGGCCTCGGCCAAGGGGGCTCCCACCAGCCGGCCCCGTCCAGCCACAGCAACGAAAGGACTCGGGGTGGTCACTTGGCCCAGGCTGGGCCCCGAGTGGGGTCAGCCGAGGCTGCTCAGAGAGCACAGCCCCGGGCGGGGGGCGGGGGGTGGGTAGAGCCTGGGAGTGGGTGCGGCCTGGGCCGGGTGGGGCTGGGGGGGGAAGGCAGGGGTGGGGGCTCAGCCTTCTGCCTGGATTTCCTGCCCCCAACCCAGGCGGCCCTGCGCTTGGCTCTTCCCCTAGAATTGCCGATAGG